GGGGGGCCCTTGGTGAAGAGTTAGCCAATCTTCCCATGCCCTCCGAAGCGCTGATCACCAGCTTCTCGTTCTGGTGTCCTCCCCCCCCCCATTGCAGCTCCCAACATCTGCAGCTGACATGGCTGCTTTGATGAGGAATTTGGCAAGTGTGGTCCCAGGTTGGGAACCCTCAGGGGAAAGCATTAGATATCTCCAGATGGGACCAGAAGGGAAGTCAGAGGAGGGGATCTGGATTCTGCCTCTCCGCATGTGCAAGCGAGCCGTCTTTTAATGAATGCGTCTCCATGTTCAGCCTGGACTTGGCAAATCCTTGCAGGCTGCTGAAGGGTTCTTGAGGGAAACGAAGCCGGTCCTCGCTGCTCTGGAGGGCTGGTGCAAAGATGGAGGGTCTCAGCGTGGCCAATTTCTGCCTAATCCTGTTGATTAATTTAACTTCAAGGGTTAGAGTCCCTCTGAAGTGAGGGAAGGGTGTGAGCAGAGGAAAGGAGGACGGGGAGAAAACAAAATATATCTTCCTTCTCATGTTGCCGGGGGGGGGGGGGGAGAAAGCAAGGCCTTTAGAATAGAATAGAGCTGGAAGGGACCTCGAAGGTCATCTAGTCCAGCCCCCTGCTCAAGCAGGAGACCCTATACCATTTCAGACAAGTGGCTGTCCAGTCTCTTCTTCAAAGCCTCCAGTGATGGAGCACCCATGATTTCTGGAGGCAAGCAGTTCCACTGGTTAATTGTCCTCACTGTTAGGAAGTTTCTCCTTAATTCCAGGTTGCTTCTCTTTGTGACCAGTTTCCAACCATTGTTTCTTGTCCTGCCTTTTGGTGCTTTGGAGAATAGAAATAGAAATAGAAATAGAAATAGAAATAGAAATAGAAATAGAATAGAGCTGGAAGGGACCTTGGAGGTCTTCTAGTCCAACCCCCTGCTCAAGCAGGAGGACCTATACCATTTCAGACAAGTGGCTGTCCAGTCTCTTCTTAAAAATCTCCAGTGATGGAGCACCCATGATTTCTGGAGGCAAGCAGTTCCACTGGTTAATTGTCCTCACTGTCAGGAAGTTTCTCCTTAATTCCAGGTTGCTTCTCTCTTTGGTCAGTTTCCAACCATTGTTTCTCGTCCTGCCCTCTGGTGCTTTGGTGAGTAACGTGACCCCCTCTTCCTGGTGGCAGCCCCTCAGATACTGGAACGCTGCTATCATGTCTCCCCTATTTCTTTTTTCTAGACTAGCCATTCCCAAATCCTGCAGCCGTTCTTCATATTAGGGATAATATGTATATATGTTAATTAGGGATAATATGTATATATGTTAGTATTTTATTCAATTGTCAGCCGCCCTGAGTCCGTAAGGAGAAGGGCGGGATATAAATGCAATTAATAAATAAATAAATAAATAAATAAATAAATATGTTTTAGTCTCCGGGCCTTGGATCATCTTAGTTACTCTTCTCTGAATTTTTTCCACACTCTCAACATCTTTTTTGTGATATGGTGACCAAACTTGGCTGCAGTATTCCAGGTGTGGTCTTACTAGGGTTTTATAAAGCGGTACTAATACCTCGCGTGGATCTTGATTCTATGCCTCTGTTTATACAACCCAGGATTGTATTAGCTTTTTTTGGCTGCTGCTGCACATTGCTGGCTCATAGTCAAGTGTTCGTCCACTAGGACTCCAAGGTCCCTCTCACAGTTGCTGTTTTTGAGTCTACTCTGGAGGAAGTGACATTCTGGAATAGGTCCAGAGGAGCAGAGAGAAGGAAAAAGGGTCCAGATGGAACTATCCATAATTGTGGATGACCCTGGGACGCGGCGACCGTCATAAATACGAGTTAGTTCCCAAGGGTCTGAATTTTGATGACGGGACCACGAGGAGGCTGCAACGGTCGTAGGTGTGAAAAAATGGTCATAAAGTCACGTTTTTCAGTGCCAGTGTAACCGTGAACGGTCACTAAAATGAACTGTTGTAAGTCGGTGACTCTCTTCTGAGCCCAGCCTACCTCACCGGGATGTTGTGGGGATAAAGAGAGGCAGCACTTTCCGATACGCTGACTTGATCTTGAGGAGGAAACAGAAATACAAGGAAAACAACATTCAAAATATACCAGCAGGACTGTGGTTGGCAGAGATTGTCTGCAGATTTTTCCGCTTTCCAGCAGATGATCAACCAGAGTTTGGCCTGTAATATTTAATATATTATTAAATAGTAAATATATTTAGCAAACGAGCTGAGGAGCTCTACCTCCTCGCCATCAACAGCTGCCTGTTTCCAATCCATCCTTTGGTCTCCCCACTATTAACAATGTTAACCCAAAACTGCTTTTCAAATTCTTTTTTGGCAAAAAAAGTAGGATTATCAGAACAGGGCTGCAAAGCTCCAGCCCAACACTAGAGGGCAGGAATGGCTTTTTTTTTTAAATTTGGGAGCTGCTACCACCTGATGGCCACCTGCATTTTTGCAGCCCAAAGGTGCTTGTCGATGGGTTTCGTTCCAATAGCTGAGGGGCTGCCAGCCTGTTCTCCAAGGCACCTGAGGGCAGGGCAAGAAGCGATGGATGGACGTGTAATCAAGGAGAGAAGCGACCAAGAACTAAGGAGAAATTGAGAACAATTAACCCGTGGAACTACTTGCCTCCAGAAGTTGCGAATGCTCCAACAGCGGAGGGTTTGTTTTTTTTTAAAGAAGAGATTGGACAACCATTTGTCTGAAATGGAATAGGGCTTCCTGCTTGAGCAGGGGGTTGGACTAGAAGACCTCTGAGGTCCCTTCCAACTCTCCTATTCTGTTACTCTGTTTTCCTCTCTGGAGGACACGGCTGCCCTCAATGAGATATATGGCTCCTTCATCACACACAGGAGAAAGGTGGCCAAGACTTCTGGAATACAGGGAGTCCTCAGCTTACGACCGGTTGCTTAGCAACCGTTTGAAGTTTCATGGACTCCCCCCCCATAAAAAAAAAGATATTTCCTGCCCATTTTGTCCACCCTTGCAACTGACTGCCAGGACGCTGCAACCTGGTGCTTTTCTGCCTTCTTGTGTTTTCCTTAAGGAGGCTCCATCGCGATGAATGGAGCCTCCTTAAGAGACACTGAACCTGCTAAGTGAGGGTGGGAATTGCACCTGGCTGCAGAAGAGCCAGAAGCAGCCATGCAGGGGAAGCTGAGCATGGTGTGACCATTGATGGGGTTCCTTTCTGCAAAAAGCAGAGTTTGGGGGGGGGCTGGAGGGGCCTGCAAAACCCCGGTGGGGGGCTTTTGCTGCCAGCTTTGGGCTCCCTTAGGAGGCTGGAGGGGGCAAGTTGGGAGTAGGCCAAGCCCTGGGGGGAGCGCAGGGAGGCCTTGGGGGGGACTGGGGGGGGGAGGTAGGCCGAGGCCTAGAGGCTGTAACAGACAGCCCCCCCCCCCCAAGGGCTGGTAGCTTCTCTAGGCTCCCTTGCCTGGCAAAATAAAATGGCTGGCTTGGGGTTAGGCCAGTGGTAGGCAACCTGGGCTCTTTTATGACTCGTGGACTTCAACTCCCAGAATTCCTGAGCCAGCATGGGGGAACTATGGGCCCCTTCATGACTCGTGGACTTCAACTCCCAGAATTCCTGAGCCAGCCATGCTGAGGAGAAAGAGAGGTTTCTAAGCTCAGCCATGCTGGCTCAGGAATTCTGGGAGTTGAAGTCCACGAGTCATAAAAGAGCCAAGGTTGCCTACCCCTGGGTTAGGCCCAGGCTTGTGGGGGGGGGGATCCTGAGGGAGGTGGTGGTGGGGTGGAAGTAGGCCGAGGCCTACGGGCTGTAATTTTTGCCTTAGGCCAAGGGGTTCCAATCTTGGCAATTTTTAAGAGCTGTGGACTTCAGCTCCCAGAATTCCCCAGCCAGCCATTTTATTTTGCCAGGCAAGGGAGCCTAGAGAAGCTACCAGCCCCTGGGGCGGAATTCTGGGAGTTGAAGTCCACAGCTCTTAATGTTGCCAGGTTTGGGCCCTGCTGGGTTAGGCTCCCTTGGATGTCCAAATGGCCAGCTTGGGAGAAGGCCAAGGCTTGGGGGGACCCCGAGGGGCACAGGGGTGGGGCAGAACTTGGGGGTCTGGAACAGGCAGGCCTGGGCCTGAGGACCTCCCCTCCCAGTGCCTCTCTCATTCTCACTTAACAACCTGCACGTTCGTTTTAACAATTGCTTTGGGGAGAGCAAGGATTGGTTGTTAAGGGAGATGCTCCACTTAACAGCCGTCGCGACAGGCTCCGTCATCCGTCATAAGTCGAGGACTACTTGTAAAGAAACAAAATTATAGACAGAAGTCCTTATTTTTGACTATACACATTACCTATACGCATCCATTTTTTTCTTTATTGCTTTGGTATGATTCGCTCTGTGTGTGTGTTTGTATGTGTTTGTGTGTGTGTGTTGCTATTTTTTTAATTGTTTAACTTTTGCATTTCTGTGGCTTCCCCTGGCTTGATTTATTTTTATTAATCTGTTTAATGTGTTTGCCACCCATCTTGCCACAAAGATGACTTCGGTGTTGACTTTATTTCATTTATTTGTAAAATTTATTAGCCACCCGTCTTATCCCTAGACAAAAGGAAGGAAGGAGAGATAGGAAACAAGGGATGGAGGGAAGGAAGGAAGGAAGGAAGGAAGGAAGGAAGGAAGGAAGGAAGGAAAAAGAGAGGGAGGGAGGGACGAAGGAAGGAAGGAAGGAAGTAAAGAAGGAAGGAAGGAAAGTCCAGTTGCCTCTTGAAAAAGCACCTTTGGGACAACCCTGACCTGGATGACGGAGAATCTCCACAGACATTTTTTTCCAATGTGAACCAGGTCTCTCCGTTGTCCCTGAACAGTTATTCCCTGTCTCCCATTTTTAACCCCCTTCTTCTCTTCCTCCTCCCCAGGCAGTAGATTGGATGACGGTTCCGATGTCGAATCTGAGCCGGACCTTCCCCTGAAGCGCAAACAACGCCGAAGTCGGACCACTTTCACGGCCGAGCAGCTGGAAGAGCTGGAAAAGGCCTTTGAAAGGACCCACTACCCAGATATTTACACCCGGGAAGAGCTGGCCCAGCGGACGAAGCTGACAGAGGCCCGTGTCCAGGTCAGCGAGAACATCTGCCTCTGGGGGTGGAAGAGAAGTTGTGGGAAAGTGCATGCCACGGGGTGCCAAGAATTTGAAACCTGGAATTGCCCCAGATACAACGGCCTCTCTTAGAAGTTGAGAAGGACTAGCTTTTTCCCCCCCTCGCCGTGTCCTGGGTGAAGAAATAGCTCCCTTCTTTTTTCCCATTGCATGTTTCACTCTGCCAAAAAAAAATATTTAAAAAAATAAAATAGGAATAGAATAGAAATAGGAATAGAATAGAAATACAGAAATATAGAAATATAAATGGAATGGAATGGAATGGAGTGGAGTGGAGTGGAGTGGAGTGGAGTGGAGTGGAGTAGACTAGGGTAGGGTAGGGTAGGAATAAGAATAGAGTGGAGTGGAGAGTGGAGTGGAGTAAAGTAGAGTAGAATAGAATATAGAGAATAGAATAGAATAAGTATAGTGTAGGGTAGTGTAGGGTAGGAATAAGAATAGTGGAGTAGAGTAGAATAGAATAGAATAAGTATAGTGTAGGGTAGTGTAGGGTAGGAATAAGAATAGAGTGGAGTAGAGTAGAGTAGAGTAGAGTAGAATAGAATAGAATAGAATAGAATAGAATAGAATAAGTATAGCGTAGGGTAGGGTAGGAATAAGAATAGTGGAGTAGAGTAGAATAGAATAGAATAAGTATAGGGTAGGGTAGGGTAGGGTAGGAATAAGAGTAGAGAGTGGAGTGGAGTGGAATGGAGTAGAGTAGAGTAGAGTAGAGTTGAGTAAAAACGGAACAGAACAGAACAGAACAGAATAGAATAGGAGGGTCGCGGCCAGATTGCAAGCCAGAGAGAGGGAAAGAATTTGGCCAACCCCTTTGCAATTTTAAAAGTCTGGCTGATAAATCTGAGGTCACTTTTGTGTGCAAACATGGCACAGGTGAGGGTTGTGAAGTGAGTCTCCGGAGAGGCAGTGAAGGAATTTGTGCAAGGCAGAAGACAGGAATGGCATGTTGGCCCATTCGGGCATCTTATAAATTTAATTCACTGTCGTCTCAAGGGTTTGGGGGCGGAGAAAACTTTTTTTCTTCACTCTGACACCTTGTGGAAGGAAGGCTCTTTGGGCCCAGAGTTATATTCCAGGGGTTAACAAAGCAGCAACCTCTGTTTATTTCAATTTTAATGGTGCCTTGGCACAGACAGCATTTCGAAGGGCCATTCTCCTCACCAGCATCTTTATTGGCCTCTAAATGGAGTTTTGGGGACTATCTTCCATGAAAAATGAAACCTTCTCACCATTTGAGAAAGGGCAGGTGGCAGGGGATGTTTGAGCAAAGGCAGCATCCTTCTACCTGAAGTCTTTTGGTGTCCACAGTGCGCTTAGGAAAGGGAGAAAGATCTTTTCCCGAGATTCAAAAGCTGTAATTTGCAGGATTCCTTCTTCCGCATCACGCTCATCCCTCTCTTTGCCAGCACTCTTCCAGCAGCTGTTCATTTCCTTGCATTTCTCATGGTTTTCTCATTCCATCCTTCTGGCACTGTCCGCCTCTTCCCACCAATCTGCCCCCTTTAAAATTTTCTGGGTATCAAAAAAGGATCTTTTTATTGGCTCCGGAGAGCTCCTGGATGGCAGGGTGGAAAAAAAAGGAGCCAAAACTGAGGGGTTGTTTTTTTTGTTGTTGTTCCCACTCTTCTTTTTTCTTCTCTGAGCGACGAGCGAACCCAGTGAAAAATTAGCCACGTGCAGGTTGATCTTTGAAGTTCTTCACCGAAAATGTCCAGCTTTGTTAAGATTTAAACCTCTCTTAAACACCAAACCTAGGAACGGAGGAGTAAGAGATGGCTGTAGGATGGCTAGAACACCAGCAGAATTGTGTGCTGCTCCATTGCAAGCTTGGGGGGGGGGGGTCCCTGTGGGGGCTGTTTCCAATTTTTAAAAAGTGGGAGGTGGAGCTTAGAGAGGGGGTGGAGCTAAGGACTTGCCCTACCCTTAGGCAGAAGGGTTGGGTTTGTGTGGGGGGGGGTTAGGACCCTCAATAAGGCCCACCGGAATTCAACATGGCGGTGGCTGATTCTTAAGGTGGCTTTGCTGGACTGGGGGAGGATGATGGGAGCTGGAGTCCGAACATCTTGGTATAAGTGACCGTGTGGTGGTGGAGGAAACCTCCCACTCGGGACCAGCCGTGCACCATCTTGACTGCCGGAGGCTTCAACTGGGGCAGGGGTAGGCAACCTTGGCTCTTTTAGGACTCGTGGACTTAAACTCCCAGAATCCCTGAGCCAGCCACGCTGAGGGGACAGGGAGAAGTTTCCAAGCTGAGCCATGTTGGCTGAGGAATTCTGGGAGTTGAAGTCCACGAGTCATAAAGTGGCCGAGGCCTAGGCCAGAGATAAGCAACCTTGGCTCTTTTATGACTGGTGGACTTCAACTCCCAGAATTCCTGAGCCAGCCATGCTGAGGGGACAGGGAGAGGTTTCCAAGCTGAGCCATGCTGGCTCAGGAATTCTGGGAGTTGAAGTCCACAAGTCATGAAGGGGCCATAGTTCCCCCATGCTGGCTCAGGAATTCTGGGAGTTGAAGTCCACGAGTCATAAAAGAGCCAAGGTTGCCTACCCCTGGACTGGGGGACCCCTGGAGCCCTTCTGTGGGGTGGGAGCCAGGCCATCTCCAAACTGCTGCCCCCCCCGCCCCACTTCCTATTTCTTCTCTCTTGGGTGGGGCGTATCAGAAGCCCAGGGTCCCCGTGGGGAGACGAGCTGTCTGTTTATTTCTTGAAACGGATCCCCATGGCAGAGCGAGTCTCCTTGAGCGCCTGATAAAACCTTAGCAGTGATGGAGTGAAAACAGCTTTGCTTTGAAGTGGGTCTCGCATTACCCTCTCCGCTCCAGCCTGTATATTTTATCCACCCATAAAATGATTTATAAGCATTAAAAGAGAGAGAGAGAGAGAGAGACACGTCAGCTACCGTTCCAGAGAGAAGGGGCAAGGGGAAAAGGAAATATGGATGGTAGGAACCGCTGGGCTGTATTTTAAATCATCTGTAGCTTCTTACACACAAACACACCAGACACACACACACACACACAGCAGGGGGCTTTGGGCAGTGGGCAATGACTCCATCTTTGTCACTCTCCTAGTTTTTCCTTTTTGTGTTGGAAAAGAACGACAATGAGAGAGGAAGAAGAACGATATGAGCTGGAGAAGATGATTTTACATACAGTAGATAGATAGATAGATAGATAGATAGATAGATAGATAGATAGATAGATAGATAGATAGATAGATGATAGATAGATAGATAGATAGATAGATAGATAGATAGATAGATAGATGATAGATAGATAGATAGATAGATAGATAGATAGATAGATAGATAGATAGATAGATAGATAGATAGATAGTCAGGAGACATCCCTGAAAGACAGGTCCTTCGAAGGATGGATAAGGGTCGTGACAGGCCAGGTGGAGCCTCCATAGACAGGAGTAGTAGAGCTTTGGAAGCAACCAGGAACGCTCCTAATTTTGTTAAATTTCCTCCTATTCTTTGAGCTGGCCCTCCCTGGAGACAGCATAGGAGGCACCCTTTTGATTCTTAAGTTATACGGCTAGTCCTTGCGGAATGACCACAGTTGGGACCGGCAACCCCGTCACTAAGTGATACAGTCATTAAGCGAGACATCGTGTGGCATGACTTGCAACTTCACTGCCTGTTTCTCCATTTTGACTCTGCCTGTCGGATGCTGCCTATGAAGTGCACAAACGGTGACATCACGTTACTTTTCCAGCATCGTCACCACCTTGAACGGTCACTAAACGGGGCAGTCGTTAAAGGAGAACTCCCTGTATATAATAGATGCATTTGAAGATGCAGAGCTAGGAAGAGAAGGTTACTGAGCTTAGGAGAGTGGCTGTGCCAATTTTGTTCAGAATACCCATCCAGAGGAGGAGGGTGGTTTTGGTGGACTTTGCCCCCAACAGCTGGTGTTGAGAGATATACTCTGCCTGAATAGGGAGGCTCTAATCCCGGTACTTTCAATGCAGCCTCAGATTTTTAAGAAGAGACTGGACAGTCACGTGCCTGAAATGGTATAGGGTCTCCTGCTCAAGCAGCAGGCTGGACTAGACCACCTCCAAGGTCCCTTCCAATGCTGTTATTCTGTATTTTGTATCCCTAATTTGATTCGGAAAGCTTCTTGTGCCCAGTTTGGGGGTTGAAGTTCTTTTGACTCTGCCAGCACATGCCAGTTTCAGAGGGGAAAATAGAGGCCAAGCACACTCATATCAAGACCAATAATTCCTTCCCAGTGTGTGGGAAGCAGCAGAATATCGCCAGGGGGCCCAGAATGTAAGATAGCAGCAAATATCTATATATATATATATGGATTTTTAAATTAATGCCGTCATTCTCCATCCACCACCGAAGCCACTACAGATGTGATGGGCTTCCACATCTGGCATCGCACCTGGCTTGTCCATTACCTCTCATCAAAAAAAAAAAAAAAAACCAAGGAAGAATCCCCCCTCCCCAATCTAATGCATCAAAAATCTTTGCTAGAGGGGAAAGAAATATTTTGCATTCTGAGCTAATGGACACTTATCTGTGTCTTCAAACTCCAAGCAGTAGCTGTAGGGATTTTAAAAAATATATAATATTTTGCGTTATTTGGCCTAACGATTCTCCTTCAGCAAAAGAGGGTGTGTGTTTGTGTGTGTGTTTTACGTGCCAGTCCCCCAACTCAGCAATTTCTCTCCCTTCCCAATTCCTGGAGTATGTTCTGGGGTTGTTGGGGTTTTTTGTTTTTTTTTTGCCTGTTTAATTTTTCTCCCCCTAAAAATTCCAGTTGCTCTGAAATTTAATCCCGTTGCTCATCTTGTGAGGCCTGGGAGATTTTCAGCAGCTGCGATGCCGAAGCTCCCTAAAAGCTAAACTTGAAGGATTGTTCCTCCCATTTCCCACCCACCCTCCTCTCCAACGTGTGTGAATTTATGGCTTGACAATTTGGGAAAAGAAATAAGGTGTCCCTTATAGATTGGGGTTGCACGGAACCGCCTGGATTCAAATGAAGTGGTGGCAACATTCATGCACAGGAACACGTCGTTTGCCTGTGGGTTGTGTATTTAATATTTTATAAAAAGTCACTATACAAATCTAGGGGAAAAAAAGGTGGGAAAGAGTGGTTGATTCTCCCTTAGGATAATGTTTCTCAACCTTGGCAAGTTTAAGTCCCGTGGACTTCAACTCCCAGAATTCCCTAGCCAGCTGTGCTGGGAGTTAAAGTCCACATGACTTAAACTTACCAAGGTTGAGAAATTCTGCCTTAGAAGGGAGTAATTTGTCAATGACCCGCAACTAGCAGACCAAAAATGGCAAGAAGGGGGGGAAAAAACCCCACCTGTATTTCCTAATTCTCTGTTACTGCTCTCCATGTTTCTACCCACAGCTCACTTGCTCCTCCCCTTCTTCTAGACTTCAGCTCCCATGATTCTCCACCTCCCCGAGGATTGTGGGAGTTGAAGTCCAACGTTAGAAGATGCCTTTCTTTCCCCACTGGTGGATGTCTCCGATGCCGTCAAGGTACGCAGCCGGTAACAGGCTCCGCCTCTCTTTCCCCAGGTCTGGTTCAGCAACCGGAGAGCCCGTTGGCGCAAGCAGGCTGGGGCCAACCAGCTGGCTGCTTTCAACCACCTTCTGCCCGGTGGCTTCCCCCCGACCGGCATGCCAGCCTTGCCACCCTACCAGCTGCCCGATTCAACGTACCCGACCACCACGCTCTCCCAAGGTGAGTCTTCCCAGGTGGGCCCGAGAGGAAACAGGAGCAGCCGAGCTAATTCTGCTTTCTTGCAAAGCTGCATCAACAGCTGCATCAATAATAATGTTGGAAGGGATCTTGGAGGTCATCTAGTCCAACCCCCTGCTCAGGCAGGAAACCCTATGCCATTTCGGACAAATGGCTGTCCAGTCTCTTCTTAAAAACTTCCATTGTCGGAGCATTCACCGCTTCTGGAGGCAGGTTGTTCCACTGGTTAATTGTTCTAACAGTCAGGAAGTTTCTTCTTAGTTCTAAGTTTTTTCTCTCCTTGATGAGTTTCCACCCGTTGCTTCTTGTCCTGCCTTCAGGGGCTTTGGAGAATAGCTTGACTCCCTCTTCTTTGGGGCAGCCCCTGAGATATTGGAACACTGCTATCATGTCCCCCCTCGTCCTTCTCTTCATTAAACTAGACTAGACATACCCAATTCCAGCAACCGTTCTTCCTATGTTTTAGCCTCCAGACCCCTGATCATCGTTGTTGCTCTCCTGCTTGAGCAGGGGGTTGGACTAGATGACCTCCAAGGTCCCTTCCAACTCTGTTACCCTGTTATTCAAGCTCTTTTTCCCCACCTGTTATGCAGCTGAGGGCTATGCTGCTTCTTATCTAACCGTCCCTTAAGCAGTATTTCTTCAGCCCTTCTTCCTAAATCTTCCTCCTATGCCAGGGGGGAAGCCACCTTGGCTCTTTTATGACTCGTGGACTTCAACTCCCAGAATTCCTGAGCCAGCATGAGGGAACTTTGGCCCCCTCATGACTCGTGGACTTCAACTCCCAGAATTCTTCAGCCAGCGTGGCTCAGCTTGGAAACCTCTCCCTTTCCCCTCAGCATGGCTGGCTCAGGAATTCTGGGAGTTGAAGTCCACGAGTCATAAAAGAGCCGAGGTTGCCTACCCCTGTCCTCTGCCATTGCAGCTCTGAGCCTGAGTCCTCGTCCTGCCCTATCCTGCAATCGGTGCCACTTCCTCTTTTACTTAGGACCCGTTTCATCTCCCACCTTGATTTGCACGACTCAAGGCGACAGGGCGTCACATGCCCCACCTCTTCTCTTCCTACAAACCAAAACAACAGCCCTGCAAATTGGGCGTGGGTTGAGCTGTGCAAGGTCAGCCAGCCATCTTGTGTGTGAAGCTGAGACTCCCATGCTGGCTGGGGGATTCTGGGAGTGGAAGTCCGCACGTCTTAAGGCAGACCAGTTTGAGGAACAATGGCTGCCTCCTCCCTCTGGGGAGACTGGTGTTCCCCTCCCCAAAGTAAGGATGGGGTCCTTAACTACAGTTGGGGGGGGGTCCAAGGAAGTCAGCGGTGGCCTCAAATTGTTTGGTGGTTTGTGCCTTCAGACAATTGCATGAGATTTACACAAAAGTGCTGGATTGCTTAGTGCTGTTGACTTTTCATCCTTGTGGTCTCCTATCCCTTTCCAGGTGGTCTCTTATCCCTTCCTGGGCAGTCTCCTATCCAGTTGTCCTTAGTCTTTTCAGTTAGCTCCTCAAGGAAATGCACTTCTATTCCCTTCTGAACCGCTTAACGTTGTTGACTTCTCAAGCTAGCCTCCCGCACCGGGTGGTCTCCTACTCCCTTTCCTTGTGGTCTCCCATCCCATCCTCCTTCAGCTTCTTTTCAGCCAGCTCTCCAAGGAAATGGTTCGACTGCTGTATGCATGTCTTCTCACGGGTCCTTCTTTCCCCACAGACGGGGGCAGCACCGTGCACCGGCCCCAGCCTCTCCCACCCTCCACCATGCACCAGGGGGGGTTGTCGGCAGCCACCCCCGACTCCAGCTCTGCCTACGGAGCCCGGCACAGTTTCTCCAGCTACTCGGACAGCTTCATGAACCCCTCAGCTCCAGCCAACCACATGAATCCCGTCAGTAACGGCCTGTCTCCACAGGTAAGTCCTTCTTGTGTCTTTTTTTTAATCCTCTCTAGCCATTTGCAAAAAACACGGGAGGGCGGGAGGGCTTGGAAGAGGGATGGTCCCCGGGGTGCTGTGGGAATCAGAGGTCCACAACAGGGGTAGTTTACTGCTTTTCAGATGCATTAAATTCTCTTAACACCAACACAAAGATTGACAAGGCATCGTACTCGACAAAGAGCCTTAAAAAAAATCATTTTTGTTCATCAAAGTCATCTGTGGTTTCGTCCTTGTATCAGCCTCCCCCTCAACAGGGGCTCAATATTTCCCCCAGACTTTGTTAAAAAAATAATAATAACCCCCCCTCCCAAAGAAAAACCCTTGCCCTCACTTGGCTGTTATTGCTATCTTCAGAAATCCTCACTTATCCCTAAACTGGTATTATTATTATTTTTTTCCCCTCTAACTCGCAAGCTTTAACTTGGGATTGCAAGCGTGCCGTTGTTGGGCTTTTGTTTGGATTTTGTCAGAAAACAGGGTCTGGATTGGAGAGAAGTTGAAGACTGCTGCCTCTTTTAGGGACCCCCGACCCCACTTTGGCCCACTTTGATGGAGCCAACGAAAGTAGAAATTTAAAAAAAAATGCATCCACTACTTTGTCTTATGTCAGCAAATCTCAGCCGCTCGCTCTAAAGATCCAAACGGCTTTCTTACACACATAATTTAAATTTATTACCGGTGTTTGGGGCCAGGCATGAGAAAAATTCAAATCTGGAGGCTGGGCCAAATCTTCCTTTTTCTCCTACGTGCATTTTTACACACTCGGTTGATCCATGGAGCAGTAAAGTTTGGTCCCCCGATCAGCAGCAGTGGAAAGGATTTCTGAAGAGGAAAAAAAATGCGTCGCCATGAACGTGTCTCTTCTTTTGGTGTGTTTGTCTGAAATTATTTTGATTTTACTACATGGTCTCGTAACGGATTTGAAGAGGGTCTGTCTTCTATCGTTCTAAGGAAAGGGCTTGTAATTGTTTATTTTTCTGATTTGCCAACTGGAAAAGCACACCTTATAGTTCATTTCTTGGGTTTTTTTAAAAAAAAGTTTCATTTCCATCAGGAAGGGGTGATGCAGATAGAGTAATAAAGGAAATCAATTATAAATACAAATAATTGGGGAGGGGTCCAAAATTTAAGCACTGGGTTGGAAGCGGAGGGGGGGGGACTGTGAAACCACGAATGTGTTGGTAGAAATTATTTATCCGTATTTTGTTTGTTTTATAACCTTTCTTTCCTGCAAGGCTTAATTTTGGAAAAGTCAGAGATCTTTCTTTAACGTGCGAACTTAGAATTTCCTAATTCTGTGGGCTTTAATGGGAAGTCCTTCTGTACACGCTCAGAGGCTGTTTGAGAAGGAAGTCAGAAAGACAGAAGCGATCAAACAGAACCCCAAACAGAAAAAAAGATAAATTAGTTCCTGATTTTGGACACCTGGAAGTTGGCTAGCAAGGCAGAAAAGATCCTTTTCAACCCAATTAGCCTGTAAAAAAAAATAATTGTCTGAACTTCAATCTAGTTCTGTCAATTTGCTACGTAGGGGGGGAAAAAATCAGAATAATTTCATTCCAAAACACACGGACAGCGTGAGGAGCTTCGGATCCAACCTGCAAAATTGTGGAGGAAAGGAAAATAATTTTGCGTCCCCTTTTACCATTTGCATTGCACCCTCGGTAGGTTTGTTTCAAAAATTCCTAAAAAGCCTCTGTGTTTGTATGTGTGTGTGTGTGTGTGTGTGTGTGTGTGTGCGTGTGCAGGAAATAGAGGATACCTGTAAAATTCTCTTTGCAAAAGGAGAAAATAAACGAAACTATATTTGCATTCCCACCAAGCTCCCTCCAGCACCCAGCGCCTTTAAACAGAGTTGGTTTTGCAAAAACCTGGCAAGGAGTGAGGAGATTAAATCTTTTACAGAAGAAGTTTCTTCTGTCTAATCATTTATATCCCAATAAAAAGTGGCGGGAAAGTCCATCCACCGGGGACGAAGGCATTTCATCCACAGTCAAATGCCCCACTTTGGCTGTTCTCCTTCAGCCGTGCTGATGGCCAGCTTCCTCCGGGTTGCACAGATCTCTTTGGAAAAGGCGGTGAGGAAAAACTGGAAAAATCCCCTTTTGCATCTGCCTGCTGGCTCTCCTGGGTCTCTTGTGACCTCTTCCTAAATTGGACGCTGAACCGTCTCCCCCAGAACCTGCCAAGCCCAGCAGATCTCTCCGTATCAATTTCATTTTCTCTCTTTCTTTCCAAGAAAACTATGCACCCAAAGGTTGCAAATGCAAGTTTGGGATAAGGCGGATGGGGTGTCTTTCTTTTTTCTTTCTCTCTCTCTCTCTCTCTCTCTCTCTTTTTTTTTTTGCAAAACTCTTGTACCTACACGGCGCTAAGCCGGAGGAGCCACGAATTCTGATCTTCCCCCAGCCCCGGCCTTTACAAATTGGCAAAGCGCGCCGGGGTCTCTAATGCCTCTTTTCCTTGTGTCGCCATAATGCGGCGATGTTCCCAATCTGCTTTGAGGGATGGAAAGATTAAGAATAATAATAATAATATAAAAAAAATTGCAATAAAATATGTGTGAACGCGGGGGTAATTGTGGACAAATGCGGCATTCAAATTCATTTTTCCACTTCTTTCAGATACCATTTCAATCTTATTTTCTGCTTATTAATGAGATCTTGTTGGCTGGAATGGGCAGAGCTGCCCGTATTCTGGAGTAATTGCACATAATTTCCTTTTTCCACCAGTGATTTGCATCTTCGCTGCCACCCCGTTCATTCTTCACTATTTAACCCCCCCC